CTATCTGCAATATTAAAGCGTACTCACACACTGCTCATTACAGAGTTAGCACATGTTGCTGCCTGATTTATGACCCACGTCAAAATTAGCTTTTGTTTTATAGTAATTTTTGGTTTCCCTCATAACTTACGTTTTGACTACCAATGATTCTGTGTCAGTGGAGCTGGCGTTTGAAGTAGACTGTTTTATGCATCAGGAGGCAAATCGACAGACGGATTCAGTAATGTTATTTTGATGAAAAGGAAATAGAAAATGGTGTTTATTGAAGCAGGGCCTCGGGTGGCATTTAATGATGTGTGAAAGTGAAGAAATCTTTACAGAGCACCTCTCTCTTGGGGAGAAGATATTTGGCAGTCTAATGCATTTTTACAGCACACCCATAATGTTATTGTTGTTTTTTGCTGTCTTGTGGTTTTATTTAGGATTACTATAAAACATTTTTATAAATTATTATTTGATGGATGCCTGGCATATGGTTGTAAACATAGATGAATGCTTACTTAGTCTCAGTCTTATTCAGTCTTATTTTCAACAGTGACTATTCACTGGGCACGAACTGGTTGAGTCAACGTTGTTCCAATGTAATTTCTCAACGTACAGTGGGGAGAACAAGTATTTGATAACCTACCAACCAGTAAGAATTCCGGCTCTCACAGACCTGTTAGTTTTTCTTTAAGAAGCCCTCCTGTTCTCCACTCATTACCTGTATTAACTGCACCTGTTTGAACTCGTTACCTGTATAAAAGACACCTGTCCACACACTCAATCAAACAGACTCCAATTTCTCCACAATGGCCAAGACCAGAGAGCTGTGTAAGGACATCAGGGATAAAATTGTAGACCTGCACAAGGCTAGGATGGGCTACAGGACAATAGGCAAGCAGCTTGGTGAGAAGGCAACAACTGTTGCCGCAATTATTAGAAAATTGAAGAAGGTCAAGATGACGGTCAATCATCCTCGGTCTGGGGCTCCATGCAAGATTTCACCTCGTGGGGCATCAATGATCATGAGGAAGGTGAGGGATCAGCCCAGAACTACACGGCAGGACCTGGTCAATGACCTGAAGAGAGCTGGGACCACAGTCTCAAAGAAAACCATTAGTAACACACTACGCCGTCATGGATTAAAATCCTGCAGCGCACGCAAGGTCCCCCTGCTCAAGCCATTTTGCCAATGACCATCTGGATGATCCAGAGGAGGAATGGGAGAAGGTCATGTGGTCTGATGAGACAAAAATAGAGCTTTTTGGTCTAAACTCCGCTCGCCGTGTTTGGAGGAAGAAGAAGGATGAGTACAACCCCAAGAACACCATCCCAACCGTGACACATGGAGGTGGAAACATCATTCTTTGGGGATGCTATTCTGCAAAGGGGACAGGACGACTGCACCGTATTGAGGGGAGGATGGATGGGGCCATGTATTGCGAGATCTTGGCCAACAACCTCCTTCCCTCAGTAAGAGCATTGAAGATGGGTCGTGGCTGGGTCTTCCAGCATGACAACGACCCGAAACACACAGCCAGGGCAACTAAGGAGTGGCTCCGTAAGAAGCATCTCAAGGTCCTGGAGTGGCCTAGCCAGTCTCCAGACCTGAACCCAATAGAAAATCTTTGGAGGGAGCTGAAAGTCCGTATTGCCCAGCGACAGCCCCGAAACCTGAAGGATCTGGGGAAGGTCTATATGGAGGAGTGGGCCAAAATCCCTGCTGCAGTGTGTGCAAACCTGGTCAAGACCTACAGGAAACGTATGATCTCTGTAATTGCAAACAAAGGTTTCTGTACCAAATATTAAGTTCTGCTTTTCTGATGGATCAAATACTTATGTCATGCAATAAAATGCAAATTAATGACTTAAAAATCATACAATGTGCATATTTATTTTTATTATAATTTTTTATTTCACCTTTATTTAACCAGGTAAGCCGGTTGAGAACAAGTTCTCATTTACAACTGCGACCTGGCCAAGATAAAGCAAAGCAGTGCGATTAAAAACAACAACAACACAGAGTTACATATGGGATAAACAAAACGTACAGTCAATAACACAATAGAAAATCTATATACAGTGTGTGCAAATGTAGTAAGTTATGGAGGTAAGGCAATAAATAGGCCATAGTGCAAAATAATTACAATTTAGTATTAACACTGGAGTGATAGATGTGCAGAATATGATGTGCAAATAGAGATACTGGGGTGCAAATGAGCAAAATAAATAACAATGTAAATAACAATATGGGAATGAGGTAGTTGGGTGGGCTAATTACAGATGGGCTGTGTACAGGTGCAGTGATCGGTAAGCTGCTTTGACAACTGATGCTTAAAGATAGTGAGGGAGATAAGTCTCCAGCTTCAGAGATGTATGCAGTTTGTTCCAGTCATTTGCAGCAGAGAACAGGAAGGAATGGCGGCCAAAGGAGGTGTTGGCTTTGGGGATGACCAGTGAGATATACCTGCTGGAACGCATACTACGGGTGGGTGTTGCTATGGTGACCAATGAGCTAAGATAAGGCGAGGATTTCCCTAGAAGTGATTTATAGATGACCTGGAGCCAGTGGGTTTGGCGACGAATATGTAGTGAGGGCCAGCCAACGAGAGCGTACAGGTCACAATGGTGGGTAGTATATGGGGCTTTGGTGACAAAACGGATGGCACTGTGATAGACTACATCCAATTTGCTGAGTAGAGTGTTGGATGCTATTTTGTAAATGACATCGCCGAAGTCAAGGATCGGTAGGATAGTCAGTTTTACGAGGGCATGTTTAGCAGCATGAGTGAAGGAGGCTTTGTTGCGAAAAAGGAAGCCAATTCTAGATTTAACTTTGGATTGGAGATGCTTAATGTGAGACTGGAAGGAGAGTTTACGGTCCAACCAGACACCTAGGTATTTGTAGTTGTCCACATATTCTAAGTCAGACCCGCCGAGAGTAGTAATTCTAGTCAGGCGGGCAGGTGCAAGCAGCATTCGATTGAAGAGCATGCATTTAGTTTTACTAGCGTTTAAGAGCAGTTGGAGGCTACGGAAGGAGTGTTGTATGGCATTGAAGCTCGTTTGGAGGTTGGTTAACACAGTGTCCAATGAAGAGCCAGATGTATACAAAATGGTGTCGTCTGTGTAGAGGTGGATCTGAGAGTCACCAGCAGCAAGAGCGACATCATTGATATACACAGAGAATAGAGTCGGCCCGAGAATTGAACCCTGTGTCACCCACATAGAGACTGCCAGAGGTCCAGACAACAGGCCCTCCGATTTGACACATTGAACTCTATCTGAGAAGTAGTTGGTGAACCAGGTGAGGCAGTCATTTGAGAAACCAAGGCTATTTAGTCTGCCAATAAGAATGCTGTGATTGACAGATTCAAAAGCCTTGGCCAGGTCGATGAAGACAGCTGCACAGTACTGTCTTTTATCGATCGCGGTTTTTATATCGTTTAGGACCTTGAGCGTGGCTGAGGTGCACCCATGACCAGCTCGGAAACCAGATTGCATAGCGGAGAAGGTACGGTGGGATTCGAAATGGTCGGTGATCTGTTTGTTAACTTGGATTTCAAATACTTTCGAAAGGCAGGGCAGGATGGATATAGGTCTGTAACAGTTTGGATCTAGAGTGTCACCCCCTTTGATGAGGGGGATGACCGCGGCAGCTTTCCAAACTCTGGGGATCTCAGACGATACGAAAGAGAGGTTGAACAGGCTGGTAATAGGGGTTGCGACAATTCCGGCGGCTAATTTTAAAAAGAAAGGGTCCAGATTGTCTAGCCCAGCTGATTTGTAGGGGTCCAGATTTTGCAGCTCTTTCTGGACATCAGCTATCTGAATTTGGGTGAAGGAGAAGCGGGGGGCGGGCATGGGCAAGTTGCAGCGGGGGGTGCAGAGCTGGTGGCCGGGGTAGGGGAAGCCAGGTGGAAAGCATGGCCAGCCGTAGCAAAATGCTTATTGAAATTATCGTAGATTTATCGGTGGTGACAGTGTTTCCTAGCCTCAGTGCAGTGGGTAGCTGGGAGGAGGTGCTCTTATTCTCCATGGAGTTTACAGTGTCCCAAATCTTTTTGGAGTTAGTGCTACAGGATGCAAATTTCTGTTTGAAAAAGCTAGCCTTTGCTTTCCTAACTGATTGTGAATATTGGTTCCTGACTTCCCTGAAAAGTTGCATATCGCGGGGGCTGTACGATGCTAACGCAGTACGCCACAGGATGTATTTGTGCTGGTCAAGGGCAGTCAAGTCTGGGGTGAACCAGGGGCTATATCTGTTCTTAGTTCTGAATTTTTTTGAATGAGGCATGCTTATTTAAGATGGAGTGGAAAGCACTTTTGAAGAACATCCAGGCATCCTCTACATTTAGACCTAGATTCATTCCAGACTGAGGAAGTTCTGCATTATACTATGCTTGACATTTAAATGTAATTTCCGATTGAGCTGTCATTTGCAGTGTTTACCGTGAATGCAGTCTGATGCTGATTCTGATTTAATCTCACCTTAGTTTCCGCCATTCCGTGAAACAGGGATGGAGCCTAGGAGGATGTATTTTATTATTAACTGCTCTCTTTTTCCTGTGTTTTTAGTGGGACTTTTGTTCAATGAAATCATCCCTCCAGCTAGTTTCTACCATGCCATCTCAGTCCCATGGAGGAAGAGACCGCATAAACATATTGGATCTTGTTATCACCCAGAAAGCCGTGCAGCCAAACTCCACAGACAAATGGCACAACAATCAGTGGCAGTGCTGAAGATTTATTATCCTGACCTGCCAGTATTTTTTATGTCTCTGCCAAGGACATGTGATTTGTGCACGCATTGGCAAGGGCTCCTGCCTCCTGGCATCAAAGATCTGTGATTGATGAGGTAGCAACTCTTGCAGTCTTGAGTCACAAGAAGGGTAGATACACATGGTGGACTCCCAACTCCTGAGCTGAAGTTTGCAAGGCTGACTTCTGATTTAACAGAACATTGCAATCAATCCCAAAAACATTCAACTAATGAATTAACCATAAACAAACCCAAAATGGTTCCCTCGGGTGAGAACATAACTTTCCCAGTGTCAGAGAACTGTCCCAACTGCAGCTCCTCCTCCTACCCTGATATGGATAACACTAAGGCTGTGACCCTGGGTCTGGTGCTGGGAGTGTTTGTCATCTTCGGGGTTCTGGGTAACATCCTAGTCATTCTGTCTGTCGTGTGCCACCGCCACCTGCGCTCCGTCACACACTACTTCATCGCCAACCTGGCAGCGGCCGACCTGCTCCTGAGCTCCACCGTGCTGCCGTTCTCTGCCACCTCGGAGGTCCTGGGCCGCTGGGTGTTTGGCCGGCCTTTCTGTAGTGCTTGGGCCGCCTTGGATGTTCTCTGCTGCACTGCCTCTATCCTCAGCCTGTGTGTCATCTCTGTGGACCGCTACCTTGCCGTCAGCTACCCGCTGCGCTACCCGTCCATAGCCACTGGGCGGCGCGGCATGGTCGCAGTGACAGCTCTCTGGGGCCTCTCAGCAGCCATATCAGTGGGTCCGCTCTTCGGCTGGAAGGAGCCCGACCCAGAGGACGAGACTGAGTGCCGGATCACAGAGGAACCGGGTTATGCTATTTTCTCTGCCATGGGGTCGTTCTATGTGCCACTGGCTGTCATCCTGGCCATGTACTGCAGGGTGTATGTGGTGGCCAAGCGGAAGACTCAGGACCTGAGGGAGGGCAGGAAGAGGGAGGGGGGGATGGACACGGAGGGAGAGGGAGTGACACTGAGGATCCATCGGGGAAATGCCCCTGCTGTGCCAGAGGGACAGGAGGAGGAGGGAGATGAGGGCACCATTAGGCGGAGACGCACCACCTTCGCCCTCATGCGCCTGCTGAAGTTCTCCCGGGAGAAGAAGGCAGCCAAGACTCTGGGCATCGTGGTTGGCTGCTTCGTTCTCTGCTGGCTGCCCTTCTTCCTGGTTATGCCCATCGGTGAGTATCCCACAATGCATTTCCTTCCTCTCTATGATATGTATGTGCTGCTGCATGCCTTTTGTTTTGAATTGCATGGAAATGAAAAAGAGACATTAATATGACTAGATGTCTGTCAGAGGGAATAGCATCACTGAATTAATTTCTCACAAAAATAATCTCTCTAACTGATTTCCCATAGCAGCATATAAACCCCCATTACTGGATAGAGAGTGATTGCCTCACACTGTGTCGTTTTCTAGTCAGGGAAAGCTTCCCTTCCAAATCTCAGAAAAATAAACCCCTCCACTCAACTCAATTGAACTTTAAAATGTAAATCTCAACCTCTCAATGGAAAAGCGCTGTGACAAAATTGAATGGAAATTAATGTATTGATGAAGACTGAAAGAGGGGGAATAAGCCACAAGGCCTATTTTCTGCATATTCCATTGTGTTAGTTCTGCTGCAGCACACCAAAAACAATGTTAGGAGCCGTAAGCAAAAGCAACCCTCTATTATACAAATTCAGCTACAAAATCACTGCTGTTAGCATTGCCATGGGATGAGTCACTTATAACAATAGTTCAGTGATTTGAAAGAATATGACAGGACACAAATGGTGCGTTAATATGATGGCAAAAATAGGAACGATAGGAAGATTAAGAGGAGCTATGTATGATCATATGATGATGCATGTCACCTACAGTCAAATCCAACGTTGCCTCAAAGCTGTCATCCACGTCATTAATACCCCCACAGAATGTGATTAACGAGATGCAGTATAATGGCTTCACAGACTTTAATATCCTTGATTAGGGATGGGACAGATCTGTAATTCAAGATGATATGGAAATTGGGGTTGAACTCATCTACTGTAGATTAGCAGATTAGCAGAAAGCCTGCTGATGGCCTAGGTCTGGGGAGGTGTATCTGAATGCATCCATACTGTGCATTTTGTATCCTACTTTAGAATGCATTTATATACAATTTCTTGATGGAAATCCAATGAGTCCAATGTTAGAATAGTTTATTGATTTATTTGTGTTTTATTGTATACATAACAACGGAGTCTATGACCTTGGTTACCCCTGTTGAATGCTCCCTATACATGTCTGTTTTCTTTTACAGTACATCAGGAATTCAATTACTGCCATGGAGAAGCAGAGCAAATGAAATGCCAGTGCTGGGTTATACTTCAGGGAAGAAATGAAATGAACAAAAACAAAAACACTATTCATTATTTTATTCCTAAACCATTATGGACAACAAACATAAAGGATATGATGTTGTGCTCAGTAAGCAGGCGCCCACAATCACCCTTCATCTTTCCAAGGCAGCAAAGCATGACTGGAGTTTAGCATTTCACTAAAAACAGACCTTTAGACCCGAGAGCACAATATTTCATGCCGACTCTGAGATGATGCCCCTGAGCTTCTCAGACTATATGAATGAAAGAGTTGAATGTTTAAGACCTTTAGTGACAAATCTCTCCAGATAGAGAGATACAGGTATGTTGGCTTTACAAAACTCTCACCTAGAAAGATAACCTAGAAAGTGTAAGTACACAGTGAACACCAGTATGTCTGTATTTGAAACTATGGTGAAATGGTGTGGGTTAATGTGTGAGCTATCTCTGCTCATCCTATATACATACAGAGAATGGTCGATAAAACATGCCAATGATCGATGATTCATATTGACATTGTGAACTACTGTATGTGATTTAAGTGATCTGTGTGTGTGTGCTTTCTGTCTGTTCTTTCCACAGGCTCCATATTCCCATCATACAGGCCATCTGACACCATCTTTAAGATCACCTTCTGGCTGGGCTACCTCAACAGCTGTATCAACCCTATTATCTATCCCTGCTTCAGCCAGGAGTTCAAGAGGGCCTTCCTCAACGTTCTGCACGGACGCTGTCTCAGACAGGGGGGCAGGAGCTCCAAGTCTCTGGGGTTTGCTTCTTCCTATGATCCCAGTCCTGGTCCATTGTCTCTTATCAGATCCCAGCCTCCCCCCTCCTCCTCCAGCTCCTCCACCCAGCCACCCCAAGCCCCCTCCCCAGCTTCTCCCTCCTTGGGCTGCTGTAGGACCTTCTCTGGCTCCTCTTCCTCAGTGGGGGTGCCAGGTCATACCCACATTGCCCGGGTCCACAGTAAAAGCCTGCTGAAGGCGTGGTGCTTTGCAGCGGGGGAAAGACTGCCACCATTGGGTGCTCCTAGCCTAAGCCCCTCAGCCCGTGGTGCTGCTACATGTCAAGCCAAAGTCCATCGCCTCTCCTTGGGAGCGAAAGGGGAGGCAGTGTGACTGGGAACACTAAAGGCTGCTGGATAATAAAAAAATCCCCAAGTTCTGGGAAAATAAGTGATTTTAATTGGCGTGAAGTTAAGTCATATCTATAAACTTGCTAGAGTCAGACAAAACAAAATATGCTAGACAAGGTGGGATCTTTTTGTGTCGGTAAAATTCATTATGAGAGAAATGGCGGTGGAAACGCTTTTATGTGCAAATATTGATATAATAACCATCATATGGAAGTAAACTTGGAGTCACGCAATGACATGTTGTGTGGTCCTCCCACTACGACTCGGAAAAGCATGCTGTTTATTTGGCTACAGATTATATATATTATGCTGAACTTTACAGGGTGGTGAGCAAGGTGATGAACTTGATGCTCCTTTCCAATAAATATCAAGGGTCTTATTCTGGTGACATGATGTTCGATGCGTGGCTGCCTTTTGACAACAACAAAAAAATCTTGCTCTTTTGTCCATAATAATCTCATCATGTAGTACCCTACCTGCACTGTATCCGCGAGCTGTTGGTTAGAGCACACATGCCAAGACCATAGTGGGCACATTCCCTATATAACGCAAACATTTCTGTTAGATAACCCTCAGTAAAGTTGAAAATGCGATGGAAACCCATGTAACTTGTATGTTTTATTCAGTCATGGGAATTTAACCACAAAAGTATGTGCGCTACAACATCATGCACAGATTTTTATCTGCAACCAATCAATTTGATGGAAACACTTCTAGTGGGAAAATGCACATATTGTTTTTATGCAGATTTTAGAATAGTTGCATGAAAATCTGTAACCAACTGGATGGAAACCTAGCTAGTGGCCTCTTTCTTTACCTCCTCAAATAGCAGAAGAACATGTCTATCAAACACTAGACGGATCAGTCAGTACACTTTCCCATGCACAGCCTGATACTCCGAAACCCTCCTTAGGCCCAGAGAATGGGCCAAATACCTGCTATGCATTGTGGGATGTTTCAGTTCAATGATCAGTGATGTTCAAGAAAAAGTCTGTAAGCATCTGTATAACGCATTGAAATCTCATCCCCATTAAATGCAATGGAAGTTATGTAAAATACTGAAAATATTTTTATACTAACTATATTATCATGCCTCTCTCGAATCACAGGTTTCACTGTGTCTGCACCAATCTTCTGTGAAAATTAAACATGTCACCTGTTGTTTTGCCTATGCGATTAATATACTGAACAACAATATAAATGCAACATGAAACAATTTCATTGATTTTACGGAGTTACAGTTCATATGAGGAAATCAGTCAATTGAAATAAATTCATTAGGCCCTAATCTATAGATTTCACATGACTGAGAATACAGATATGCATCTGTTGGTTACAGATAGAAAAGAAAATGGGCCTCACTATGGGCCTCAGGATCTTATCGCGGTACTTTTGTGCATTCAAATTGCCATCGATAAAATCAAATTGTGTTCGTAGTCCGTAGCTTATGCCTGCCCATACCATAACCCCACCGCCACCATGGGGCACTCTGTTCACAACGCTGACATCATACACGTGGTCTGCGGTTGTGACGCCGGTTGGACGTACTGCCAAATTCTCTAAAACGATGTTGGAGGTGGCTTATGGTAGAGAAATTAACATTCACTTCTCTGGCAACAGCTCTGGTGGACATTCCTACAGTCAGCAAGCCAATTGCACGCTCCCTCAAATCTTGTGGCATTGTGTTGTGTGTGGCCTTTTATTGCCCCAGCACAAGGTGCACCTGTGTAATGATCATGCTGTTTAATCAGCTTCTTGATATGCCACACCTGTTAGGTGGATGGATGATATTGGCAAAGGAGAAATGCTCACTAACAGGGATATAAACAAATGTGTGCACAACATATTAGAGAAATAAGCTTTTTGTGCGTATGGAAAATTTCTGGGATCTTTTATTTCAGCTCATGAAACATGGGACCAACACTTTACATGTTGCATTTATATTTTGTTCTGTGTAATTATAACCAGGTATGCATGGCCTTTTCAGCTGTTAGGCTGCCCGCAATAGAAGTTTGGCTACTGCTGTCCTAACATTTGAAAATGTTACCAAGGTGACATCATCCACTGAACCCAGGGTGACATCATCCACTGAACCCACTTTCATCCTCAAAAGAGTCAAAATTAATCTTACCAAAAACTATAAACCTGTTGCAAATGTTGCCATTTCTTTCAGTAGCAAGTACTCACTACCTAATTCTACATCTAACTAAGGTGTTTTGTGGTGGTAGAAAATTAGCTAGCTAGTGTCTGCTTGCTGGCTGAACCATGTAGTCTCAAACCAATCCATATGAAATGAAAGGCAGGGAGGCTAACAACGCCAGTTGACACACTCAATGCTGAATACTCCTGCTAGCTAGCTAGTGAAGTTCTAGCCAGGGGCGCAACATTGGTTTTAGAAGTGTGTGGGGGGGGGGGGGGGACATAACTTGGCGGGGAGTCTGGGGGTCATAACATTTTTTGGGGCATCTAAAGCTCATTTCCTGCATTTCTACACAATCGAATATGACCCATGGTCCTTCTAGCCGTCTCTATTTAGAACAACAAAAAGTAAGCAAAAATGCCCACGGTCATCAAGTTAGGTAAGAGATCATTATTAAATATGTTTAAGTGATTGATAAGACTGAACTAGATCAATGATAATTCAACAATCAGTATTGTGTTGCAACTTTAACCAACCTAACTCAACTCTCTCCACAACACAACTTCCTTCCCATATATTTTTTTTATGTCTCAAGGAAAGTTTTGGAAAACAAACGTTTTATAAAAACACACATACACCTACACATTAACACACAGAAACAGTACACCCTCCATATAATTAATATCATAGGGATAATAGTACTGTAGAGCTCTTTTTACTTGCACACGATATAGCTGGGTCAACCCGTCCTGTCCCTAGGGGTCCACGGCCCTGCAGCGCCCCAACCCAATACACCCCACTCAGCTTTAGGATCTTAGTGAAACATTCTTGGTTTCAGGTGTGTTAGGCCAAGGCCAGAGTGACAACCAACAGTATGGCAGACCTCCAGGGCCAGGACTGAGCAGCTCAGCAGCTAGGTATTTCCCCTGACATGGGCATGTTTTCAATACAGACTCCTTTTGTCGTACTGTATTCCATATAAGGCATCCAGACCTTATGAAAGTTGCACAGTATACCTTTAATCTTGTAATAAATCAAATCTAGTTATACATAACTTGACATTTCTTCCATCCATTGTGGGAGGATAACCAACCTTCCAATTAATGGCAATGCATTTCTTAGCCGCTATAAATGCTAGGTTACACATTTTCAGTATCAACATTTCCAAGCAAACAAAAACAGGGAGAAGAGAGAATATGTAGACCTGCTGAGATAAAAGAACATACTCTTTGCCAGAATTCAGCCAGCCTTCACAAGACCATAACATACGCAAATTTGTCCCCTTCTGTGTTTTACACCTCCAGCAGGATAATTTAATTTCTGAGTACATGATATTCAGTTTCACTGTCATATAGTACGTTCTATGGACGGTCTTAAAATGTAGTAATTTATGTCTGAGATTATATGAACATGACTGGGCAGTCTAACATATCTATATCCATTCATCATCATCAATAGCATCTCCCAGGTCTTCCTCACATTTTTGTTTTACATGTTTTGTGTCATCGGGAAAAGCCTCTATCAACCTTTTGGAAATGTATTTTAGAGGTTTGTCAGACTGCTTTAAAATAGTTTCAATCTTTGAAGCTTCTTGCTTGTCCAGTGTTTGCTGCACAGAGAAAATAAAGTATTGTATCTGCAAAAGTTCACCTCTGCGCTGTCACAGACTGGTCTTCCCTGGCTGCCTGATCCTGATGAGACCCCTGTCACCATTTGATCCTGCTCAGATGAGGCATGATAAAGAATTACATCGGTGTACATTTATACATTATATTATCCATGAATAGAATCAATGGTTCAATAATTGAAATTACCATTATTCCCAGATCCCAGACTGTAGACTACCCATCAACTCAAGATGGAACTTTGTGTCCATTCACTGATTGTTATAATATGCTGCAAAATTCCCCTTTGCTCCGTAGACTGGTCTTCCCTGGCTTTCTGACCCTGCAGGGACACCTGTCACCATCTGATTCTGCTAAGACATGATGAGCATAGTGTTGTGTACTGACTGCACCATGACAGTGCACCATGACAGTACGGAATTAGCTAGGGAAACTGACAGATCAATAACGTTACATTGCTATACTGACTAATAAAAAATCACATTGCACTGAAAAAACGTCAGAATACAGGTCTTCAATCGTTTGGCCGCTAGTTTCATCGTTTGATTCAGGTCTAGTGTGATTGAGGCAATAATTATAGCTAAAGTTAGTGAGCTAGCTACCTAGCTCGCTAACATTAGCCAACGCTTGGCTAGCTCTGCTAGATAATGGTACAATAGTACATCATAAAATGTACTTCTGTTGAAACGGGACAAAACATTTCCAAACACACAACAGCTGTTAGATACTGCTACCTGACTGATAGCTATAGGCTAGCTAGAGCTGAACTGGCTGGGGTAGGATACAACCAGCTAACTACAGTTGCTGGTAGTAGTTCATTCACTTCAGTCGAGATGGGATGAAACATTAGCTAAGGTAACATGTCAGTTACACTACTAGCTCACCACTGGGAATATATTTTTTTCTTCTGTCAAACAGCAGTTACCTTGCCAGCTAGATAAGTCAGCTAAAGAGTAGCCAGTTTCTGCTCTGCTTGCTTTTACAACTCTGAGAAAAAGCACAACACAGACAGCAGCTGCCTCTGTTCATCTCACCTGTGCTGGTCCTATACACCAGCCTTTCAGAAGCTTTGCCTTCACACAGCCTGTCCGCATTTTCTGTGGTGTCCTCAATCCAGCCATCTAAAACTGGAAAACAGCCTACCCGACCGTTCTGAGGCGTCAGCATGGTCCTAAAGCACCCCGATGCTGTGTTTTGTATCACAGTGCAATGATAAAACTGTGGGGGACAAAAATGCAATTTCAGAATGTGGGGGCGTCATGTCCCCTCGTCCCCAGTGAAAGTTGCGCCTCTGGTTCTAGCTAATGCACAAATGAGTTTCCATGATATCTGTTCTGCTGTGATTAGTGCACTGAGTTCTACAGCACCGCTGAGCTGACTGCTCTCTGGAACGTTATCACGTTGGCCAAATGAAGGACAGTGTCAGCTGTCAGAATCAGATATATGCTGATTTCTGAGAACAGTCGCATAACTTTGGTGCTGTAAAACTTAACCTCCTAGAATCGATGTCCGTGCCCCACGGAAATCTAATCAGCATAATAAAAAAATCCTCATAAAAATATGTATGTTAAAGCTAGAGATATATTTTTTGGATAGGTTGCGTCTCAATTCACCGCATCCGCCGATGTCGGCCATCCGCATCTGCCGTGGAAGGTGGCAGAGCTACAGCAGTGTTTGTCAAACCATTAGACATCCCAAAAATGAAGTCCGGGGGGCAGGAGGTGGACAGGGGAAGCAGGTAGCTGACTAGTGGTGGCTATTGAGCAGCCTGATGGTCTGGGGGGTTAAAGCTGTTGGCCAGTCTGCCAGTTTTTTTTTTCCTATACTGCCCGCTTCTGAGTGATGGAAGCAGGGAGATCAGGCCGTGGCTCTGGTGGCTGAGGTCCCTGATGATCTTCTTGGCCTTCCTGTAGGTGTCCTGGAGGGCAGGCAGTGTGCACCCAAAGGTGCGTTCGGCTGAGAGTACCACCCTCTGTAGAGCCTTGCGGTCAGCGGCGGTGGAGTTGCCGTACCAGGCTGTGATGCAGCCCGACAGTATGCTCTCGATGGTTCTCCTGTAGAACACTGAGGGCCTTTGTGGAGATGGCCGAATTTCTTCAGCCTCCTGAGGTTAAAGAGTCGCTTTCGTGCTTTCTTCACCACGGTGTCTGTGTGGTTTGACCATTTCAGCTCCTCGGAGATGTGTACGCTGAGGAACTAAGCTATTTAGAATTTTTTTAAGAAGGTCATACCCAGGATCATTTTGCTATTTGATTTTGAATTTTAAGACCCCTTGAAGTAACAAAAAAATACATACAAAATTTATTTGGTGAATTTTTTATTTGGCTTTACTGCCATTAGCCCATACAAACACATTGAATAACAGATTCACTACACAGAACAACATATAGTTCCAAAAAAGTATCTAAAGGAAGTGTGTTCTGAAGTGTCTATCCTATATCTGAGAGATAGAAGAAAGATCAAGAAAGTTTTTTTTTGTTTTTTTTTACATGTATTTAACCCTTATTTTTGTCACTAAATAGTCTCCATACATCCTTCCATTAAATATTTAACTGGTACCGGGGTACCTTCAGACGAGTCCTAGAGCAAAACAACCAACATGTACGTGTTCGTGAGGGGCTCACCTTTCCACAGAGGGGTCATATTAGTGTGTAGCCCAAACTGTCCGGACGCAACACACAGAAGTTGGCAGATCGGCTGTACCGACTTCAGACGAGTCCAAGAGGCTTGGGGTCGTAGAGCAGAACAGAGAACACCATCGTGTTTGTGAGAGTCTCATCTTTCCATAGAGGGATCATAGTTTTTAGGCCAAACCGTTTGGACTCTACAGACGATTTTGTGAGAAGGCTGATTTTCGGGATGTCTCATGGTCTGACAAACACCGCTCTAGCTCTGTCACCTTTCAACGCAGATGTGGAAGTGTGCGGTGGTGCGGTGGATTGAGATGAATATCTCTATCTTAAACCTGGTAACCACAGGTGTCACAATAAACAAATAAAAAAGGGTTTCTGTAAACATAAACTCAACACATTTCCTTTCCTATCAAAATGGCTCTTACGTAATACTTTGCGCTAGGTACACTTATTCCTGCCTCTCTAACCCTTTATTTCCTTGCTGTCTATAGATTGTTGCCGTCTCCCTTTACTCCTGTAAACAGACTAGGGGACATACTGCCATCTTGTGTCATGAGAGTGTACTTGCGCTCAAAGGACTGTGCTGCCCATTATTTCCTGTGGGGATTTCAAGAGTTGTACAGTAGCCTACAGTACATGAGCTGAATAAGTAGAGGCACCATTGAAGAGTATTGACCATTCAGTAATGTTTATGTATATAATTTACAGTGGAATTGTTTGGAATTGTTTGACTGATTTGGATGCTTAGCCTTAATATTCATATTTATATGGTCTTTCCTACTCAAAGACATTGATATTCTCAGTAACCTTAATACACAGATCACTAGGGCTAAACTTAAACACTGCCAAATCAAATGTTCCTATGAAACATGATCAGTGGCCATGTGATGTGACCATTAAACAAACTGATATTACCACAGGTGAGGAGAGGAGGGAGGGAACCCATTCTACCTCCTAAGGTCAACAGACAACATTCACTCTCACACTCACAAAAAGCTAGAGGCTGAGCTTTGTTTCGTTTTTTACTTTAATTCTTTGAAATCATTGTTTTTACATCACCATCCATGGGATTTGACACTTTCCATAGAGAGCAAGCATCCTCAAAACCCCACAGCCATCAAGACAAACACCATCACACAGTTACTTTCACAATGGGAGGGGGTTAGGTGGAGGGGGGAGGACAGGGGTGCGGGTGGGATTTTAACAGCATTAGCAACCTCAAACCTAAAGCTCTTCTCTCAATCTGCGTTTCGCTTACATCACATATTAGCGTGGCATAGAATAACATCCAAACTGACAGAGCAAGAAGAAGGATTGTGTGTGTGTGTGTGTGTGTTTGTGTGTGTGTATTGAGGGGACACGATGGTGGCGCCAGCTGGTTTATAATATCTGAGTCAATGCTTTAGGCATCGTGCTCCACCACAGCTACAGACAGCGCTGGGTGCATGGTACCCACTGGGCACAGTCGTCAATTCAACGTCTATTCCACGTTGGTTCAGCGTAATTTTATTGAAATTATGTAGAAACAACGTTGATTCAATCAGTGTGTGCCCAGTGGGTAGATATATGTGGCCTTGTAGAGGAGCACTGGGTAATTGCTATCATGTGAAGCTTGTGGCTCCCTCTCAATTACGCAATTCAGGGCCCACGAATCATGGGTCAGAAGAAGCATGTGGATCCCACCCAACAAGCCAAAAGCTTATATACAAATGGTGACACTAAAACCAGGTGAAGTCTGCAACAACAGTTCATTGAAGAAAACGAGTGTGTGTGTGTGTGTGAGAGAGAGAGGAGGGAGATCTATAGTGTGCATGGCTTCCATACAGCTAATCTGCCACGGACACAATGTTATTCTAATAGCACCAGGTCTAGAGGGGTTACTATGGGTAACTTACAATCTGACAAGTGTTGCCATGACAAACAAAAAGTGGGGCCTGGAGGGCCTCGTAGTCAAGGCAACGGGGAAACAATGGAAGAGCCAGAGAGAGAGAAAGAAAGCAAAAGAGAGAGGAAGAGCGGGGTGGAAACAAGCAAAGACATACTTTTAGTCTCAGGAGGACTCATGCACTCCTGGCTGCCAAAATGTATTTGTGCTTCGGCAGCCCCCTCTTTACCCCCTCCCCCAAATCAGAGTGAAAAAAGTCAAGTCTATGGGAATAGAGGGATGAATCATTTTAATTCTGCGTCACCCTCTGTTTGAGAGATATGCATTCCAACACCAAGCAAGCAACTAGGAGACTCATGCTGAAAAGATGCCAATACACCGGCCAGCGTTTTCCATGGGATCGAGAAGAACAACTGGAGAATCAAAGATCTTAAATATTGTTAGTGATCATAGTAAAAATAATAATGACAACAATAATCATGATAATAATATCAAAATCATAAACATGATGACCATAATATCTCAATGAGAATGATACAAAAGAGAGGAGGCAAAGGTAGACTAAAGAGAGTTTTTGCTCAGCCATGTACTCTACACATGTGAGGACGAAGACTTGTCCTAGCCCTAATCTCACATGGCAGATTTTACAGTTTTGTTGGAGTATAAGCACTGGAGTGGCCTGAACCCTGCCACCTGAGTGATTGAACACTAACAAGCAGACCTCCCTCCCATCCCTGTCTCATCTCATTCCCTGTAGGCGGTCACACTGAAGTGTCAAACTTTTAATTTCCCTGCTATGGATTCCTTAAACACAGATACTGTTACTACCCTGAAAGAGACTACCTTTTAAGGGCTTCCTACGAGAACTTAACACGGCCATGAAAACCAAAGGTCTAAACCACAGCACAGTGCTGGAAGGACATACAGACACCACTTGTTCCGTGAGTGCATGCGTGCAACTGTGTGTGTCTGTGTGTGCGTAACAGTGTGAGTGAGTGTTTTGCTTGGTGTTGAGTCATGGAGAGGAAAAGGTGAACACTGCAGAACGGCAACTTTTAGGCCAAGATCTCACCGACATGCGAGTGAAGGAAGAAAAACAGCTGGAGGACTGCTTTGCCTTAATGAAAACCAGACCGTGCAAAATGAGCGAGAGCGAAGGACCATTACTGTCGCTCCAGGTCTGAGCCCAAAGGAGTGGTGCACTGAGACCTGTGTGTGTGTGTTTGCCCCATCCCTCACAACATAACACTGCACACTAGTTAGAAATACATTACTCCATGTCTACTTTCAAGCTCAAATTAATAGTGTTCAGCCTTAGGCCACTAAGTACAGAATGACACTACATAGCAGAAACAAGTACGGTTAAAAACCCTAAAACATTCAAACACTTTCAACATATTAAGCATAGATATTTTTACAGGAGCACTACCAGTGGAATACCAAAGAACAAAATATGGCACCTTTGTATCGGTTAACACTGGCTATTTTACATTTTTATCTTACATCCTTCTCTTACCACAATAAGAATAATAAAAATCTAACTATCAGTACAACTTCTATGGGTTCAGGCACATAAAGAGTTAAAAGGGAAACAGGGAGTGGATGAATAGAAAAGTGGAGGCAGGGAGCAGAAAGACATTCAGTCTTCTAAATGCACTGGTTGGTACTGGAACATTCTAGAACAGTGGGGGGGGATGCTACCTGCAACACTGTCAATTAAATGGTGTATGAATCTCAAAGATCCCATAACAGTGAGGGGTCACAATACCCTTTAGGCCAGGTATATGGGCAGTGGACACATACTGTACTACAGCTTAGCTGAGTACAAGGAGTGTGGCACCATCTTGCTAAGAGGCTGAATTGAATGAGGCTATGAAAAATTGGGCATTCCCTAGTATTCTGACCAACATCTTCCTTCCTTCCCTGCCACCCGGCTACACTCCTCCCAACATCCTAACTTTGAGTCACATCTCCTCTCATGGACATTTAAGTTCCATGATGGCCTCTCCCTGGGAGACGTAATACAGCGCTCTATTCACCGCCCGCCAACACCTTCTCCTACTCTACTGGACTTTCCCTTTTCACAAGCAGCTTCCAAATATGGACCATGTTTTTTTTATTACATCTAGAACCTAACAAAGCTACTGGTGGGATGACATGAGGTGAGCACCTGTGACAAGTTCCTCTAAGGTTTCAAACACTATAGTGGTTTGGCTTATACTAATCTCATGTATCATTACGTAGCCTGGGGACGAGGATAGCTTACTACCAGCTTGCAGTGATTTTCAAACGATAACAATGGACTGTTTTACAGTCTCATAATCGTTTTTCTTATGGTTACAAGTCAATAAATGGTGTTGATCATAGCCAGTGCTGTACTGATCTTAACAGTATGGAGGAGATGAAAATCACACTAGAGGGCAAAGCTGTATAAAGCTGACAAACCAGAGACAGACAGTGAACATATCAATTGAGGAAAGCATATTAGCTTCTTCATGTTCACTACACAATGTTAGCGCAACTAATCTGATGTGCCCATAGACGGGTTGGCCGACAACGTCACGGAAGTGATATGCACATCAATGTGGCAGGAAGGCGTGCATTGTTATGATTCTGAACGGTCAGATAGCTAGCAAAAATGACAAGAAGCTGCCATGTGGGGAATAGTAGGTGGCTCGTTTCAGCTCGTTGAATCTTGTTATTGATACCATGTCTTGTTTTTGAGGTGTCTATGCTAATATGGCTCAAATTCGCAAGCTAGCTAACCTTACAACTGTAACAATGTATTTGAGAGACAAATGCTCATTGTGCAAATTCATTTATGTTTTCAATAAACATTTGGAGACTAAATATAGTTTACATGTTGTCAACAGTCTAAGCCAACACTGTCTGTTTTGCCCCATAGTTGCACACACGTCGGTTTTGTTACTAAACAACCAACCCGTCTATTATCTTAAGGTAAAGCACAAGTACAACATGCTCCCCTTGTGATTCCATACTTCATTTACCATACATCCAAAATAAAAAAAGAGGGGCCAAATGGACTTCCTCTATGCAAATGTCACAAGCACTGTCTTGACCTTCTGGCCGTGTTAAAACTGCTCAGTCTAGTCTCCCTTCACCCCTCTATTATAACATGAAAATAAAAAACTAAACTAAATGATACATGGCAGGTAGAAAGTACAGTATAAAACACTAAATAATACAGTCATATAAGGAGTGTTGTTTTTTCTATTTTCTTCTTCAAATGAGGCAAATCATTTTTATAGGTGTCTCCTCTAGGGTGGGGTGTTTGGGGGTTGGGGGGAAAGAGTGGGGGAGAGATGTAGGGAACGGGAGAGGGGTTGAGAGATTGAGGAGGGGAGACTTGGTCAGGTACTGTAGCTAGAGGGTTTGGCTCCTGGTGGAATGGCCCCTAGTCCCTGATGCCCCTCCCCTCAAGCCCTCGTTTCCCCTGGTGGCCAATGGGAGTGGTTAACCCAGGTTGGTGATGTTGGCCCTGCCACCAGGTGGCGCCACGATGCGCTGGGTGTTACGTCGAGGAAGGTTGTCATCAACCTGAGCACCTACAAGTACAGAAGAAGAGGAGGATGTCAATATTTACATTTTACATTTTAGTCATTTAGCAGACGCTCTGATCCAGAGCGACTTACAGTTAAGTGAGTGCATACATTTTTTCACTGGATTATGACCTTTTCATTGTTATGAAGAAGTTTATCATCAAAACTATGATAGTGCGCAACTATTATGTGACCCTGCTGGTCATCTATGAACGTTTGAAGATCTTGAAGAACGATCTGGCCTTAATGGCCATGTACTCTTATAATCTCCACCTGAAACAGCCAGAAGAGGACTGGCCACCCCTCAGAGCCTGGTTCCTCTCTAGGTTTCTTCCTAGGTTCATGCCTTTCTAGAGAGTTTTTCCTATGCACCATGCTTCTACATCTGCATTTGGGATTTGGGGTTTTAGGCTGGGTTTCTGTATAAGCACTTTGTGGCATCTGCTGATGTCAAAAGGGCTTTATAAATACATTTGATTGATTGAGATATAATGACAGATACTGTATCTCTAGTGAATGGATCCATGGATCCACCCCAGTGTTCCTCACCAGATAGGCTGAACCCTGACTGGTGCAGGTTGCGGACAGGCTGGGCGCCGGCTGCTGCCTGTTTGGCTGGAGAGGTCTTGGCAGAAGAGGCAGGAGTCATAGTTTTGGGTGTGAGTGACACCTCACAGACAGGCCCGTCATAGAGACCTCGGGGAACACCCCTCAGCTCAGCCAGCTGGAGAACAGGGAGGAGGCAGAATCAAGAGTCAAGATCAAACAACCTAAACCTACTGATAGTGGAATGCAACATCCAACTTGTTAGCAAACAACCTCATCTTATTATGAAACAACAACTTAAAATAATACAGGGTCACAACAAAAACTGTAACCCACTCCCTTAGATACATCAGTAACACTCAAGCTGGAAATAAAACACAACAACGCACAACACAGCCTAGAATGACACAGTTCCATAACAGTGCCCTACCCTGCTGCGAGCCCTTATCCTCTTGTAGACGTAGTCAGAGAAGGGCTTCCGGCCCACGAAGCGGCCGCACCCCTCGGTGGTGTGGAGGTTCCCCTCCTCCAGGACGATCTTACCCTGGCTGATCACTACCAGGGGCGCGCCACGCACCTCCACACCCTCAAATATGTTGTACTCCACATTCTGGAAGAGCGACAGGGGGAGAAAGGAGGAGAGGCAATGTAGTACAGTAGATAATGTTTTGGATCAGACCAATATTTCCATATATCAATCAGCCTCTTATGATTTGTGTGAGTTGATTGGTGTTTAGCACTAGTGTGGTGGACCTCCCTCCCTCTCCATCCTGTGCCAGTGGAGGAGTTGTTTTATAGTGGGCCAATGTTCAAATCATTAACAGTTCCCTATGTGTTTTTCAATGGTTAGATAAATGGCAATTGAAAACCCTTCTAGAGAGAGCATCATTGATGTGATGGTGAGATTTGAGTCTCTCCAGACAACAGACCATTGATTTAGCCAGGCAGCGAGGAGCAGAGTGTTACAAGGCAGTTACAACAGGGTGTGTGCAGTGGAGAGCAGTGTGACTACCCTCCTAAAAGCTACCGGCTGACTAGGCAATCTGGTGGGCTCCACAGGGCTTAGAAACAGCATGAGGTCACCCGGAGGCTGGACGTCCCCCCTCACATGCACGCACACACCACTCTCTCTGAATGACCAATTTTCTCCATTTACATTAGTCTATTTCCTGACCAAACAGAAAGAAAGAAACCATAGAACACAGAGAGCTAGAGCAATTAGATTACAAAAACACACACACATGCATAAAGACTGGCACATACAGACACATAAACAGTGTGATTTGCCTGCTAACAATCAGAAATTAGATGTTTCAGTCCTCTGGCAGAGTTTGAGGATGACATCACTCCCCTGAGTCAACATAAGGCCCACGCCCTAGTGCTGGGGAACCCAACCAATCACATTTTTTACATTTTAGTCATTTAGCAGACGTTCTTATCCAGAGCAACTTACAGTCGGTTAGTGCATACATATATATATATATATATATTTTTTTTTTCATACTGGCCCCCCGTGGGAATCGAACCCACAACCCTGGCGTTGCAAGCGCCATGCTCTACCAACTGAGCTACACGGGGCCCATATGTGGAGAGTCATTTCATATAACTATTACAATTTAACCTATTATGTTCACTTGAATGTTCAAAGACTAACTATTTATTTTGTGGCATTTTCCCAAAGATGAATCTGTAGGGTAATCCCACATGTGGAATACCATATGGCTGGATATACAGTAGATTGTGCCTTTCTGACGGTACAGTATTTGTGCATAGTGAGTGTGTAACTGACTGACCGAGTTGTGGCTCTTGGCTGAGATGATCTTGATGACGTCTGGGTCCCAGAGCACCAGGTCAGCGTCAGAGCCCACAGCGATGCGGCCCTTACGGGGGTACAGGTTGAAGATCTTAGCAGCATTGGTGCTGGTGACCGCCACAAACTGGTTCTCATCCATTTTACCTGTCACCTGGATGGGCCAGGTGAAAACAGAGACCAGGTGGTTAACTTTGTGTTGTTAGGACATGTGAGTGTGTGAGGTTGAAGATCTTAGCAGTGTTGAGACCGGGCAGAGACCAGGCGGTTAACAGAGACCAGGCGGTTAACTTTGTGTTGTTAGAACATGTGAGTGTGTGAGGTTGAAGAGCTTAGCAGTGTTGAGACTGGCCGAAGACCAGGCGGTTAACAGAGACCAAGCGCTTAACTTTGTGTTGTTAGGACATGTGAGTGTATGAGGTAAATATGTATACAAATACACATATTGTACACTACATGTAAAAACATAATGGCGCCGGAGAAGATGGCTGCTGTTTTTACAGTCCTCTAACCAATTATACTATTATGTGTGTTTATTGGCGTTAATTCTAATTTATTCTGTACATAATGATTCTGCCACAGTCTGTTATGACCAAAAAGAGCTTCTGGTCTAGAGGAAAAAAAACTCTAGACCACCTTTACTCCACACACAGAGACGCATACAAAGCTCTCCCTTGCCCTCCATTTGGCAAATCTGACCATAACTCTATCCTCCTGATTCCTGCTTATAAGCAAAAACTAAAGCAGGAAGAACCAGTGACTCGGTTAATAAAAAAGTGGTCAGATGACGCAGATGCTAAGCTACAGGACTGTTTTGCTAGCACAGACTGGAATATGTTCCGGGATTCTTCAGATAGCATTGAGGAGTACGCCACATCAGTCACTGGCTTCATCAATAAGTGCTTCGATGACGTCATCCCCACAGTGACCGTACGTACCCCAACCAGAAGCCATGGATTACAGGCAACATCCGCACTGAGCTAAAGGCTAGAGCTGCCGCTTTCAAGGAGCGGGACTCTAACCCGGACGATTATAAGAAATCCCGCTATGCCCTCCGACGAACCATCAAAACAGGCAAAGAGTCAATACAGGACTAAGATTGAATCGTACTACACCGGCTCTGACGCTCATCGGATGTGGCAGGGCTTAAACTATTACAGACTACAGGGAAGGGAAGCACAGCCGCGAGCTGCCCAGTGACACAAGCCTACAAGACGAGCTAAATCACTTCTATGCTCGCTTCGAGGCAAGCAACACTGAAGCATGCATGAGAGCACCAGCTGTTCCGGATGACTCTGTGAACATGCTCTCCGTAGCCGATGTGAGTAAGACTTTTAAGCAGGTCAACATTCACAAGGCCGCAGGGCCAGATGGATTACCAGGACGTGTACTCCGAGCATGTGCTGACCAAATGGCAAGTGTCTTCACTGACATTTTCAACATGTCCCTGACTGAGTCTGTACTACCAACATGTTTCAAGCAGACCACCATAGTCCCTGTGCCCAAAGACACTAAGATAACCTGCCTAAATGACTACCGACACGTAGCACTTACGTCTGTAGCCATGAAGTGCTTTGAAAGGCTGGTCATGGTTCACATCAACACCATTATCCCAGAAACCCTAGACCCACTCCAGTTTGCATACAGCCCCAACAGATCCACAGATGATGCAATCTCAATTGCACTCCACACTGCCCTTTCCCACCTGGACAAGAGGAACACCTACGTGAGAATGCTATTCATTGACTACAGCTCAGCGTTCAACACCATAGTGCCCTCAAAGCTCATCACTAAGCTAAGGATCCTGGGACTAAACACCTCCCTCTGCAACTGGATCCTGGACTTCATGACGGGCCGCCCCCAGGTGGTAAGGGTAGGTAACAACACATCTGCCACGCTGACCCTCTACACGGGGGCCCCTCAGGGGTGCATGCTCAGTCCCCTCCTGTACTCCCTGTTCACCCATGACTGCATGGCCAGGCACGACTCCAACACCTTCATTAAGTTTGCAGACGACACAACAGTGGTAGGCCTGATCACCGACAACGATGAGACAGCCTATAGGGAGGAGGTCAGAGACCTGGCCGTGTGGTGCCAGGACAACAACCTCTCCCTCAACGTGTTCAAGACAAAGGAGATGATTGTGGACTACAGGAAAAAAAAGAGGAGTGAGCACGTCCCCATTCTCATCGACAGGGCTGTAGTGGAACAGGTTGAGAGCTTCAAGTTCCTTGGTGTCCACATCACCAACGAACTATCATGGTCCAAACACACCAAGACAGTTGTGAAGAGGGCACGACAAAGCCTATTCCCCCTCAGGAGACTGAAAACATTTGGCATGGGTCCTCAGATCCTCAAAAGGTTCTACAGCTGCACCATCGAGAGCATCCTGACTGGTTGCATCACCGCCTGGTATGGCAACTGCTCGGCCTCCGACCGTAAGGCACTACAGAGGGTAGTGCGTACGGCCCAGTACATCACTGGGGCCAAGCTTCCTGTCATCCAGGACCTCTATACCAGGCGGTGTCAGAGGAAGGCCCTCAAAATTGTCAAAGACTCCAGCCACCCTAGTCATAGACTGTTCTCTCTGCTACCGCACGGAAAGCGGTACCGGAGCGCCAAGTCTAGGTCCAAAAGGCTTCTCAACAGCTTCTACCCCCAAGCCATAAGACTCCTGAACAGCTAATCATGGCTACCCGGACAATTTACACTGCCCCCCCACCCCCACCCCGTCCCCCTTTTTTACTCTGCTGCTACTCTGTTTATTATTTATGCATAGTCACTTTAACTCTACCCACATGTACATATTACCTCGACTAGCCGGTGCCCACGCACATTGACTCTGCACCGGTACCCCCCTGCATATAGCCTCCCTACTGTTATTTTATTTTACTACTGCTCTTTAGTTATTTGCTTAAAAATTTTTTGCTTAACACTTTTTAAAATTATTTTTTACTTTGGTTAAGGGCTTGTAAGTAAGCATTTCACTGTAATGTCTACACCTGTTGTATTCGGCGCATGTGGCAAATAAAATTGGATTTGATTTGATCTACATGTCAGTATGTTCCACTGTAAGTACTGTATGTGAGAATATGTGACTGTATTGAATAGTATATAGTATATAGTATGTATTAATCTCTCACCACACACTTGTCCCAGATGAGGGACATTCTCTCCTCAGTGCCGTTGGTACCCTCAGGGATGAGAGTGAAGTCGTCTTTGCCCACGGCACGCTGGGCAGTGTTGAAGGTGCAGTGGGCACTGCCAGTCACCTGCAGGTCCCCACTGGAGAGGAGGGAACAGGGCAAGAGGTTAGGATGGGAGAGGAGACATTGAGGGGAGCAAACTGAGACTGTGCCACCTGGGGTCAGATTGGGATGATTGTCCTATTTTATTTTGTTACCATGATAACAGTTTACATCATTAACATGGGTATTTGTCCTTATAGTCCAATCCAGTTTATATTTAATTTAACCTTTATTTAACCAGGCAAGTCAATTAAGAACAAATTCTTATTTACAATGACGTCCTGGCAAGAGGCAAAAGGCTTTGTGTGGGAACGGGGGCTGGGATTTTAAAAAACAAACAATGTAAGACGAAACGGAAAACCCAGACAGAAGACACGGCTTGGTAGTGTCAAGGCATTGAGTTAGTGCTCTCACCAGGAGAGCAGGGAGCTGAGATAGTCGGGCGTGGTCGGGTCTGGGCTGAGGGGCGGGGATGTGATGAAGGCGGCTGCCTTGGCCCAGTTCTTGCTCCAATAGTGTGAGCCGTCTGTACCCAGGCTGGCAGTGATTGGCTCCCCGTACACCACAGTACCTGCAAGGCCAATCAGAGACATGATGTGATTACAGATTTAAATGATGATATTGATGTAAACAATATGGTGCCTCTCCCTTCTTTTGGTTCACATATGTGCATCTTCCGTTCATCTTTCTGTATGTTTGTACCCTAGCAAACATCCTAGCAACAGTGTCTCACCCTTCTTCCTGGCCTGAGCGATGACATCAGCAGCACTCTTGCTCATCACCTTGGTGATGTAGAGGGGACAGTTAGTCTGATTGGCTACTGTCACAGAGCGGTTGACAGCCTCCGCCTCCACCTGAAATAGACACCCAGGGTTCAGAGGTCAAGATGACCATGCAAGGACACATTTTGGAAACATAAAGGGAAGATAAAAACAGAAATAGGTAGGAACTCTGAAGTCAAATGCTGATGCATCATACCTCTTCAGGACGGCTCAAGACATGTCCCTCAGGTCCAGTGATTCCCTGCTCCAGAATACGACGCTGCTCCTTATTGGAAGGAACAGGTATATTTTATAATTGTCCAGTGTTAGGTATAGTAAATAGGGTTTTGATAGTCCGGTAAATGGTGTATTGTTAGCCCCAGGTCTTACCTCAGCCACGATGTCTCCGTTCTCAGCATGGACCTGAGCGATGGCCCCCAGATCCCGGATCACACTGAACACCTCATAGACCTACAGGAAATAACCACGCCAGCATCGTCAGACAACCACAGATGGATCATAGAACAGACACACAGACAAACTTGGCATCTAGTCATCGTTTTGTAAAGTTAATTGAGTAAAGTTAATTTCATACAGTATGTAAAACTCATACACTCTCAGATGCATCAGTGGTAAAACCAGTTACTGATGTATGACTGATGTATGAGTCTTGTATGAGTCATCGTCTCCCCAACAGCCAGAAATAAATAAAGAGCTATCATAGTTTTCCTTTGGAGATCTGCACAAATTAGAGTGTAATGCTCTGGCCCGGGCAGCCTCCATGCATTCCTCATACAGGTGCAAAGACCAAAACGGGCTGTTTTCAAAGGAGCCTCGCGTCCAAGATTAATCTGTTTTACCAGAGACAGAGACATGGACTGGTGCATTGTGTCCCTCTGGAGACCCACACAGACAATTAGTGCCTCAGCCTCCTCCAACTCAGCCCACAGCCCTCAGCCAAGAGCAGAGCAGACCATGGGAAGCATCTGGATCTAAGAGCTAGAGTATATGATGTCATACGGTGCAATTTATTAAGCATTCAGTATGATTTTGCCACATACCTTTTAATAGTACAGTTAATGAGGTGCGAAAGAAGGTGAATTCCTTTCATACTATATTCTTAAAGATTATTATAACCGTTAATGTTCTTTGTGATGGTAGCAATCGTTGTGTGTTTCCTGTGAGATAAACAGGGAGCCAACATCAAAAAAGCTACCGTATGATAAAGGAAGTCATACCTGAGAGTCAGTAAGCTGGAAAACATCCTTATAAGCCAGATAGACAAGGAAAGAGTTGACACCTGAGGAAAGAGAGGGCGTGTCAAAGGAAGGTACAGGGAGTGGGAAAGAGAAACAAAGAGAGCGGAAGAGACCAATAACGGTTGTAGAAGAAACAGATTCAGAGACCCAACTAGTCTGAACAAACATACACATTTAAACCAATCTTTGGGAAATGTAACAACCATACAGAAAGAGAAAACATGAACACAACTAATCTTAACCTACTATATGATGTCATATGTACTGGGTGTGGCAATACCGTGGTCCTTGACGAGGGCCTCCATCTCCTCCTGGACTCCCTTGTGCCACTCAGTGATGTCCACATGCAGGGAGTAGTCACAACAGGACTTGCTGTCCGCCCACTCACGCCACTGCTCAAAGGCTGACAGCAAGCTGGCCCCGGGTTCCGGAACCACATGGTCAACTAGTGGACACACACATACAATTATTTAGCAAATTGGTCCAAAAATATTCCTTCTTATTGTTAGGGGTGCTTTCAATTATTATATAAAGTAGCTCAGATTAAATGGCTACGTCTGGGTCTTGCATCATTGTTTTTTCCATCAGGGTGTACTGTACTGCTGTGAGATGTGTGATCCATTTACATAGCTGGATCTGTGGACTCTGCAGTGCTGTCAGCAGGAGTCAGCATTCTGCATGATGGGACAAAGCCATCTAACTCTCCAGGAGTCTGTGTGACTGCTGAGGAGGGGAGAGGACCTTTACTTCAGATGGCATAGTGCTAAGGCATCTAATCTCTATGAATGCTACAGGCAGGCCACGCTATTACTGAGGAATTACGAGGAGAGTGGATAAACAAGTTGCAAAAGGTTTTGAATGTTCTCCCTAGTCCACTTTTCACTACATTCAGCAGCACCTGGTGGCACGCTAGCCTAACACTGTAATAGATGGGTCTTTATAGGTTCAGGACTTGGCGCTGCCATAGATGGAGCTGGCACTGCGCCCTCCCAATCCCTCTCAAGAAGGGGAAGAGAGAGAGGGGGTAGGTGGTAGTGTACATACTGATCATGGTGGTGCCCCCTGCCAGGGCGGCGCGGGTGCCCTGGTAGAAGTCGTCCACTGAGGTCATGCCCCTGTCGGGCATCTGGAAGCGTGTGTGCACATCGATACCCCCTGGCATAACCATGCGCCCATGGGCATCAATGAGCTTCACCCCACCGGGCACTATCAAGTTCTCGCCAATTTGTCTGAAATTCGAGGAAGAGAGATAGAGAGAAGGAACAGAAAGTGAGAGAGAGATAGTTGTAATAGAGTTATCATTATGACTGCATTTACTCTGTATACTACTCTGTAAAACCGAACAACGACCAGTGTTAGGTCTAATGCATTACAAAGATGGTTCAGAGATAGTTAACATCTCGGAGGCAGAGTCTGTGAACCTCAGGAGGTGTCATTGTGAAACTCACTTGATCTGGCCATCCTCCATGTAGATGTCAGCACAGAAGGACTGGTCATCGTTCACGATCTTCGCCCCTTTGATCAGGAGACGATCACTCTAGAAGATAATTTTTAAAAATCATCATTAGTTAATATACACGCGTCCATTTCCTCTTCATTCTCACAGAGTTAACACAGTGAAGTAAGTGGTCTTTCAGGAAAAGCCTTTAAATGCCAGACACCAGAATGTAACGCACAAAGAATGGCCTGGGCTTTTATATGGCCATATAAAAATGAGCTTATGAGGGTTAGTATGGTACTGCGGTGATGCCAAATACAAGCCACTTTCTTTACAGGAAGCATCGGCTAACACTGTGCTATTAACATATTACATACAAATATAGGATCTTAATTTGTTTATCCTGTTGCAGGAGAACTTTCCTGTAATGCATGAAATGTAAAACTTGTAGTGTATTTGAGGTTTAAAAAAGCTTCTGAAGTTTGTAATTTCCACATATAAATTTCAGACTTGATAATTCACATTTCCTGTTACTGCAGGATCATATTTTCTAATTAAGATCCTACATCTGTACAGAAATACTACAAATACTAAAGAAAAGCCAAAAGATTTCACCCCTTCCACGTCCCTGCCATCCCATCACCCCCACCATGGCCAAAAGAGACAGACGACTGCCTCTCTGCTATATTGGGCAGTGTCACAACATGTGTCACTGTCACAGCATTATCTGATGTTCTGCCTTGTGCTCTGTTGCGTCACGCTAATATTAGGCTTTGTCCAAGTGAGTTCTGTGTTGATAAGGAACCACGTGTCCTCCCACAATGTTTATGGTTGCACGAACTGGTTGTGTTGAGCTGGCACAATGTATGACCTAGGCTTGTGTTGTAAGTCTCTCCTTCTCTCTCTCTTTCTCTCTTACACACGCATGCACACACGCACAGAGAGAGAGAGAGACAGAGAGAGACAGAGAGAACAGAAAGCAGAGCTGTAAGAATTCATATTTTAGTTCCATGCAGAGATAGTTTGGAATGGATCAGCACCAGGTCTTGGGTGAAGCTCGATCAACCTTTACAGTATGTGTGTGAGACAGAGTAAGGGACAGAAAGTATGTATAATATAATAATAATATGCCATTTAGCAGATGCTTTTATCCAAAGCGACTTACCGTCACGCGTGCATACATTATTATTATTTTTTTTGTGTATGGGTGGTCCCGGGGATCGAACCCACTACCTTGGCGTTACAAGCGCCGTGCTCTACCAGCTGAGCTACAGAGGACCACATGTGTTTGGGATTGTAATAATAAAGGAGAGCGATAGAGAAACAGAGAGATAGGAGAGAGGGAGCAGGAGTTAAACAGGAACAAAATACAGATATACAGCAGTGGGGGTGGATCGGAGCTGAGCAGCAGCCTGGAATGAAAGCAGAACGACTGCTTTTAAAGAGTCTAAAAGAGAGACTGTGTGAGCAATGCTTCATGCACATCCTAATACAGCAAGGGACAAAGTGAATGCAGAAGCAGAACTACAGTGTGCTTATTACAGACAGCTGAATACAGCATGTCGGGACCGGGAACAAAATCCGGAATATACATCTTCTAATGGATAATTGACTAGGTAGGCTGATACCAACATGGCTCCAAATTAGGGTGAGGAATGCACTGATGAAACAATGACAAGTAGCATAGCCCGCCTGAGGACACGCCCCTCCGGCATCCTCACCCTGACTGGCTGACAGAATAATGGACATAATAAAGGAGCAATCAGGATGCAGACCTGGTAATCAATCATCCACGCCTCTGTCACCAGGCCACTTGTCTCTGTGTGAGAATTAGATAGGGGGGGACCCGACCCCCTGGCACCCCCCTGCGTCGCCCCAGTGGTGGTGGGCTCCCCTCCAAAAGGGGAGTGGCACCATTCTGGTCACGAGGCCTTTAGCATCCTCCACAAACAAAGGCTGCTCTGTTTGAGTTTCAGCAGTGAACGTGTTTCCCTGCTAGAAGCCCTGTCCCCAAGCAGAACTGCTCTCCAAAGGGGCTCACAATGCCCAGCTCAAAATGCATTTGGGCTAAAGAATAGAAAACCCATTTCTGTGACATTGACATCCTTTGGTATATTTTCCCTAATAAAAGTGGTTACTTGTTCCCTGCCAGAAAACAAACATTCTATAAAACACAGACACACACACACACACACACACACACACAGAGAAACCCACTCTCTTTCAAACAATCCCCCAAGGAATGTCTTGTTAGAGATGACTATGTCAGGTCTTGGCACATGCATATAAGCAGTTGTCATTTTTGATGACTCATGTGACAGGAGTGATGAACCCAGTCTATTCTCACATCTACAGTGGGGAGAACAAGTATTTGATACACTGCCGATTTTGCATGTTTTCCTACTTACAAAGCATTTAGAGGTCTGTAATTTTTATCATAGGTACACTTCAACTGTGAGAGACGGAATCTAAAACAAAAATCCAGAAAATCACATTGTATGATTTTTAAGTAATTAATTTGCATTTTATTGCATGACATAAGTATTTGATACATCAGAAAAGCAGAACTTAATATTTTGTACAGAAACATTTGTTTGCAATTACAGAGATCATACGTTTCCTGTAGATCTTGACCAGGTTTGCACACACTGCAGCAGGGATTTTGGCCCACTCCTCCATACAGACCTTCTCCAGATCCTTCAGGTTTCGGGGCTGTCGCTGGGCAATACAGACTTTCAGCTCCCTCCAAAGATGTTCTATTGGGTTCAGGTCTGGAGACTGGCTAGGTCACTCCAGGACCTTGAGATGCTTCTTACGGAGCCACTCCTTAGTTGCCCTGGCTGTGTGTTTTGGGTCGTTGTCATGCTGGACACCCAGCCACGACCCATCTTCAATGCTCTTACTGAGGGAAGGAGGTTGTTGGCCAAGATCTCGCAATACATGGCCCCATCCATCCTCCCCTCAATACGGTGCAGTCGTCCTGTCCCCTTTGCAGAAAAGGATCCCCAAAGAATGATGTTTCCACCTCCATGCTTCACGGTTGGGATGGTGTTCTTGGGGTTGTACTCATCCTTCTTCTTCCTCCAAACACGGCGAGTGGAGTTTAGACCAAAAAGCTCTATTTTTGTCTCATCAGACCACATGACCTTCTCCCATTCCTCCTCTGGATCATCCAGATGGTCATTGGCAAACTTCAGACGGGCCTGGACATGCGCTGGCTTGAGCAGGGGGATCTTGCGTGCGCTGCAGGATTTTAATCCATGACGGCGTAGTGTGTTACTAATGGTTTTCTTTGAGACTGTGGTCCCAGCTCTCTTCAGGTCATTGACCAGGTCCTGCCGTGTAGTTCTGGGCTGATCCCTCACCTTCCTCATGATCATTGATGCCCCACGAGGTGAGATCTTGCATGGAGCCCCAGTTCGAGGGTGATTGACCGTCATCTTGAACTTCTTCCATTTTCTAATAATTGCGCCAACAGTTGTTGCCTTCTCACCAAGCTGCTTGCCTATTGTCCTGTAGCCCATACCAGCCTTGTGCAGGTCTACAATTTTATCCCTGATGTCCTTACACAGCTCTCTGGTCTAGGCCATTGTGGAGAGGTTGGAGTCTGTTTGATTGAGTGTGTGGACAGGTGTCTTTTATACAGGTAACAAGTTCAAACAGGTGCAGTTAATACAGGTAATGAGTGGAGAACAGGAGGGCTTCTTAAAGAAAAACTAATAGGTCTGTGAGAGCTGGAATTCTTACTGGTTGGTAGGTGATCAAATACTTATGTCATGCAATAAAATGCTAATTAATTACTTAAAAATCATACAATGTGATTTTCTGGATTTTTGTTTTAGATTACGTCTCTCACAGTTGAAGTGTACCTATGATAGAAATTACAGACCTCTACATGCTTTGTAAGTAGGAAAACCTGCAAAATCGGCAGTGTATCAAATACTTGTTCTCCCCACTGTATGTGGAGTAGACTGCTGTGCTGCAGGGCCTGGCAAGACTCCATCCTGTTTTGGCAACTATTCACTGAACAACTGAGTCATGTGTTTGACTATCATTACATAATTTTTTTGTCATGCCATTAGACATATAAACTGGAGGCCTTTACTGAAATCCATTCATACACACTCATACAAATATGTGTAAGACAGCCATCATGACATAACAACAATAATTCAGGTTTTAGATACTCATACTTTACCAAAAATGGCAAGAAAAGTTACAGGAAAAATGTGGTCCCAAGATAACAACAGTCAAGTGCTTTCAAATGTAATCTACTGTGGAGTATTTCAGTATATAAATGTGCATGCCTATTCTTATTTCATCCTACTTAGCGGTTTCTTGTTTTTAACCCCTGTAGGTCTAAGCCCTTAGATCGCAATATCTATTAAGCTAACATATGGAATTATTTTAAGATGGTCATAAAATGTTTTATTTAGCCATTAGATTTTGAATTGTAGGATCACTGTAGGTATAAAAAAGATATATATTTAAAGAAGCATTTGCAAGTCAGAGTCCCCATTTGCTTGGCCTATGACGGCCATCAGGCATCATGTTGTGGGAGAGCATCTCTTTTTGATTATGCTGGACCTGAGCCAAACATGACAGTGACCTTCCCTGGATAAGAACCAGTTCCAGCCACACACAAACAGGATGTGGACAGTGTTTCAACAAAAAAAATGTATCCATTAAACTTATTCAAATAATATGCCTATGGTTGTTGGTCAATGTTCATTAATCATCTCTGACCAACTAATACAGGCCATAAATATTTGTTAACAAAAATACCCAAATAATAACTTATTCAATTGAGATTAAGCGTAGAAGCAGTTTTCAGAATTTCCCTATGCTCAAAATCAGATCTGAACCAATAACAAGCCCAGCACCAGACTAGAGCCTGGATAGGTTAAAGGTACTGCATATCAGAGAGAGAGACTGAGTGAGGTAGCATTGATCAGTCCTCTTTCCACACTGTGTGGAAGATCAATCCAGTGTATCATGTGATAGAGGGCTTGGATTAAAGACTACACTCAAACATTTGGGGTTCAACAAGGGTTCTTCTAAGATCCTCAAAGTTCTTAGAAGAACCTTCGGATTCTTGGCACTGAAAATTGCCCCCAAAAGGTTCTTCCAAGAACCCCATAGGCGGTGGGGTTTATCGAGGAACCTCCTTAGTTGGGGGTTGTTGCAGGAACCTAACAGCCCAACTGAAACATTTGGATTTTAATTTGAAAGGACAGCAGGTTTAGGCACTTAACTGATAAATGTAAAGATTTCCTCAATTTAAGGTAAGGTTGGTCCCTTATATAATTGATATAGTTTTATGATGATACCATCTATCTTTTCATATTTGTGCAAATCTTTCTAAAACAGAAAATTGACACAATTCAATGGATATCAATAAACAAAGAGGTAAGAATATGTATGCTATAAGAATATGTTGAATGCTAGCTGTATTGGGTGTAGATGACTGAACTGCTCAGTTTTGTGTCTGTATACAGACGAGGAGGCATACAAAGATATGTTAATTGGTATTGGTATGTTATGCAGATCACATGTACCATCCTCCTCCCTTACCTCTTCAATGAGAATCCCATAGGCCTCTACATTATGGACAAGGTATGTGTATGAAAACCATTATCAAAACACTTTTTTTCATTCACACTTTCCCAAAAACCAAAGTATGAATACTGTTGTGTGCATGTTTTGTATAATTACTATTTTTGGGATTCACAGACTTCACCCTCCCTATACCTCTGATGAATATAACAGGAAACCTGTTTGATCACCATGCACTGCAAAATCATTTTGGCTATGGATACAGAGAACATCAACACATTAACATCAACACACCAGAGGATATACAGTGCATTTGGAAAGTATTCAAACCCCTTGACTTCTTCCACATTTTGAGAAGTTACAGCCTAATTCTAAAATGGATTAAATAAAAAATGTTCCTCATCAATCTACACACAATACCCCATAATGACAATCCCAGGTTGCACTGGGGCACCATAAGGCTGAGGTATGCATGCATGCATCTCAGTTACTTTCCTTCCCCTATTTTCCTGTGCCCAGCTGCTGAAGTGGACATAAATACATGCTACCTCAAACTGGAGGGTTTATGAATGGGGATATCCTAGATTATATCTCTCAGCATATAAGGGAAAAAAGCATTCTTGGCAGGTGGCCCTTAGAACTAAGAGTGTGCTTTGTGTAATGTGTGAACACGGAATGCCCCGGGCCACAGTGCATTGCGGGATTACTGTAGGAGAATGGCGGGCTGGAGATGAGCAGTGCCAGGCTGGACTGTCTTTAGTTAGAGAGACTGATCTAACAGGAAGAGGCAGGGTCTTCTGGGTAAAAAGGCATCCACGGCGGCCTATACCATGTACCGCACTGAGTACTGAACTCTTGACCCCAGAGCCTGGGAACCACAGGAAGACCTCTCTCAGTAAAGTATTCATGACATGTCCATCCTGCAGTTAAGTCCATCATCTTTATACAGGAGCCATTTCAGTCCTCCCCTTTAATAAAAAAACATCTAAAAATCTATTTGGTTTCCTTCTTTTCCAACTGTAACTTTGAGTGTGTGTCTGACTGTAAATTAAGATAATCTTATTCATGAGAGAATTGGATGAGTCATCTTTTGAAGGCAGTCCCAGGTGGTGATTTTAGGATGAGATTCATATTTTATGAGGCGTGCCTGAGGTGTGCTGCTCCCCAGTCTGCAGCTGACCACTCCAGCTGGTGACGACAGCCTCGTACTGCAGCCTGCCTGCTGTCCTTTGTTAGCCCTTTGACTTTCCAATCTCTACAACTGTGTGCGTACGTGTGCGTGTGCTTGTGTGTGTGTGTGTGTGTGTGTGGGTAAAAGGACATTAAAATCGAATTATGTCATAATCTAAAAATAATTACTCAATTGGATTAACTTGCAAGACAGAAAGTAGCATACATCCTTTGTGTGTATCTATAGTGATCATTTGTGTTTGGTTATACAGTGAGTTGCTTAGTACATTAGATTCACCCTACTTTTTTCTTACTCTGTCTCTTTCCCTGGTCCAGAGTATACGTTCTATATCAGTTTAGAGTTAGCTTAATCACTGTTTGGGCTACTATGGCTCCTAATCCTCTGATCTAACACTGTAACAGTTAGGCTCTTTGTGGAATCTACTCCAGAACTGGGTGAAGACAGAACCAAGCCCGGAGCAAGAAGATGAGAATGAATGAAAGAGTTTCTCTTTGACTGTGCACACAGCTGATATACAAACGCAAACACATTCATACACATGGTCATCAATCTACCTTGAAACAGTTGATATGACAGTCAATTAGACTCAGTGACGCCCTGGCCACTGGTCCTATGACCAATGGCTATGTTATGATAATGGGTAAATGAATGAAATAAACAAGGATAGTGACGACCTGGATAAGCAGGAGATTGTTGGATTATAAGGGGATTGTGTGGTTCCATAAGCGTGTCTGTGACTGAGGCTGTCTCTAAGAAGACAGAGAGACAGACAGACAACACAGTGTGCTCACTGCTCTCTGCCACAGGGGTGTGGCACACGTACACACACTGCGGCTGCTCCCTTGGCACTGTACTCTCAGTCACCCCTGTTTCTCTGCTGTCTCTCCACTTTGTTCTTTCATCTCTTACTGTCTGAAAGATGGGCCACTTTAGACGTACCTCTTTTCTTTCTCTCTTTCCTTCTGTCATCCTCATGTTGGGCAACGGCTGAGTTTAGCAACAGGAGCTCAGAGAGGGATGAGGACAGGCAGGGAGCATGCTCAGTTGGGGGCCTTGGGGGCCTGAGCACCGCAGCATGACTGTGTGCGTGTGTGTGTGTGTGTGGACATGTTTAACTATACTTGTGGGGACCAGAAGTCCCCACAAGAATAGTAAACAAACAAATATTTGACCAACTGGGGACATGTTGTTAGTCCCCTCAAGATCAAATTCTATTTCTAGGGTTTTAGGGTTAAGGTTAGAATTAGTGTTACAATTAAATTTAGGGTTAGGAGTTAGGGTTAGGGTTAGGAGCTAGGGTTAGGTTTAGGGTTAGGTTTTCGGGTAAGGGTTAGGATTTTGAATGGGACTGAATTGTGTGTCCCCACAAGGTTAGTTATACAAGACTCTGTGTGTGTACGTGTGTGTGTGTGAGAGACTGTGTGAATAGATCATTAGTGAGTTAGGCCTGGCCTGTTCCCTTCACCGGGTAATGCAGTATCCACATAAGCAGGGTGTAGGATATGGCAGGAGTTTAGGGCAAACCTGCTCCAGTTGTGTCAGACTCAGCCAGCCTGACAGCCTGCTGGAGTAACCCATCAAAGTGCTTTCTTTGTCCACACAAAAGCTCATGCACACACAATGAGGAGAGGTGCACTGTACCCCCAAAACCTTAAACTGTTAAAGATCTTTCTTTAGGTCATATTTTAGATGGAAAAGTAGGTTTTATGACATGTAGGCCTACACGTGTTTTATAACGATGTACTCAAGCATCGGTTCATTGCAGTGGGGTGGGGACCCATGAGGGTCAGTAGTTTATTGTGACCATGAGGAGTTCATAGACCAGTGCGGTTTAGAGAGGAAAACCTATAAATGATCCAGTTCAGCGATATAAATATGGAAAGACAGGAGTCTATAGTTATTGTCTCGTTTTTGCCCCTTTCCCTTCATTACTGTGCTGAGAGATGAGGAAGGAAATTGGAGCCACTGCCGCCCCTCTCCCATTCTTCTTCTATTTCCATTATCCTATAGGCCTACCGCTATTCTCTATTCGTCATGATTTCTCCCGGCTCCCGGCGATAATCTGGGGGAGAGACAGTGGGGGAGAGACAGGGCTGCTGCCTCACGCAAAGCCACACAAAATCCGTCAACAATAACGGCCTGCATGCCCTAAACCCCCTTTAAATAAAAAATTTAACCGACATTGCAGCGGATGGGCGGATGCGAGAAAACTATTGCATTTGCTCCACCCGTTGGCTAGCGGTGATAACCGGCCAGACACCGTTCCCTAACAAAGAACATCCGCGTGGAAATGTAATAATGCGCGACCGCGAAACCTCAGCCGTGCACCTGACGGACTTTTACGCGTGAAATTGATTCACGGACAACATGGATTTCAAGGATAGTCTTACAAGAGCCATGTGACATAGCTTATGCAAAAGTAGACAGTCACCCACAGGCTTACATTTTGTCAAATAAAGACAATTGAAATGAGCCCTTGAGATAGATGCTCTGAAAGATCACGTGTGTTGACCCGATTTTATTTATAAGCACCTTATTAAAGGCCTATAACCAAGGGCTCGTGCAGAATGCATTTCACAGCTGATGCAAACAGGTCCTTCACCTCTGAGCTGTAGGTTTACCCGAGAGAGCATTCAACTACAGACCACAAGCCTCATTTCAGCAATGCCACATCTTTGCCTGACTAGTGAATGGCGCATTTTGTAGGTTAGTTAGTTACATGCACAATGTTCATTTTGTTCAATGGAATGAATACATGTTTTCCTAACTCACTGTAATGCGGGGAATGTTCTTCTTGCCCTGATAGCCTTGCCCAGACATCTTCGCTGTTCTGTTCTTGCTGCACTTAGTGGACCGCTATCAATGGAATGGATGTTCAGAATAGTGCGGTTTGCGGCTGGATAAGGCCGGTGTGGAATAGGCAGAGAAAAATAGCAGCAAAAAGTGGGTACAATTCCAAAAGGAGTTGTGCGTCCTAAAGGGGGGGCCACCACTCGCAGAATCTAGGAAAATAATCGCAGCTCCAGATCACGTCCACTCTTCTGTTCTCCGCCGATGCACCAAACCTTGCCAGACAGACTCAGCCACCGAGGGAGGGAGGGACAGATACTCTGGACTAAGCCCAACGTGCATGCGCAGAGCCCCGCCCTGATCCATTGCGAAGTCAGGCACTATGCCATTTCCAGTACAGTAGTAGGCTCCAGCTAGCTACACCACTACTGCCTGCCCTGAATATAAATTCCACGGCATGTGCACGGTCTAGCTTTTGATTCTCTATGGTATGAGGTCATATTTCCTTGAGTTGTTTTGGTTATGTCATCGTTGAAGAATTTGGCCTAAAAACTTCATCATAACCATACAAAAATCATAGATCAACAATGTAAAGAGCTATACTTTAGGTCTAAATTATATACAAAATTAATAAAAAAGTATCAGATTGTGGGAAATTAGTGCGTTAGACTACTCAGGAAATGGAAGGTAAATCAGAGGATATTTGTAAAGAGTAATAAAATATACATTATAGTAAGAGCAGTGGCGGTCAGTGTAGTTTATGATGAGGGAGGACGATTTTTTTTTCTCATGAGCATGGCCTTATTTCTATTACAGCATGTTGGATGACTGTCATTCATATTCCATTCACCCAGATCAATGTAACATCGATAGGTTTAGGCTACTACATGATACTCACATTTTCCCTATACCCATCATGAGGTTGCTACAACCTAGCCTATGAATGAAAGTTTACAACGTAGGTGCACACAGGTCGAGAGAAACATTTCAGATGACAGTCAGTGACACATGGACAGACAGTGACACATTCAGTACCGCCTTGCACAATCTTGCCTGCATCTATCTTATCTAGGGTGTAATCATTAGTCCAAGGGTTGCAAACAAGAGTTTCTATTGGACAAATTCTGGTAAATGTAACCCCGTTTCGTTTGGTTCCATTTAAGAAATGTTTTTCAACAGAATCGGTGGAATGAATACCCCCCTGATCATGCATAAACACAGTTCACTTTCATAGCAGCCTCTATGCACTCTCCTCATCTCACCTTCTCCCTTCATTTGTGGACTTCAATGAACAACACACCAGCTGTATATGACCAGGCGAGAAACACTTTCCAAACCATGTCATAACCACTACACACAGCCTACATCGTTGTCCCCATATTAGCTAAAGTAATGTCCTTGTCAACATAGCTAATAGAACTAATTCATTAGTAAACCCTCTACAATCATGCAGTAACGTTACAGTGTATAGTCAGTAAGCAGTTACACCTGCGGGCCCCGGTGGCAATAAATTAATAAAACCAAAAGCTTACCTTGACTTGGAAGAGTTACAGTGTTGTGTTGGTTAGTCATAGCCAGCTAGCTAACATAGCATCCCTCTGTTTGAGCTGGGTGTTTGAGTAACTAAACTAGCCAGCTGCATTTGCTAACTAAGTAAGTGAAACTGAAAGTGAAAAAAAGATGAAATCTCTCTCTCTCTCTCTCTCTTGCTTCTCCTTCATTTTTGAAGAAATTAATTTGTTGAAAACTGTTCAACTATTGTCTTTCTCTCTCTTTGAGTCAACTACTCACCACATTTTATGCACTGCAGTGCTAGCTAGCTGTAGCATATGCTTTCAGTGCTAGATTCATTCTCTGATCCTTTGATTGGGTGGACAACATGTCAGTTCATGCTGCAAGAGCTCTGATAGGTTGGAGGACATCCTCCGGAAGTTGGCATAACTACTGTGTAAGTCCATGGAAGGGGGTGAGAACCAAGAGCCTCATAGGTTTTGTATTAACTTCAATGTACCAGGAGGAGGACGGAAGCTAGCTGTCCTCCGGCTACACCATGGTGCTACCCTACAGAGTGCTGTTGAGGCTACCTTAGACCTTAATTGCAAAACAGTGTGTTTTAATCAATTATGTTATGACGTGAATATATTTAGTATAGTTTACTTTTTCAATGTTTTACTATTTTTATTTTTATGAAATTCACTGAGGATGGACCTCCCCTTCCTCCTCTGAGGAGCCTCCACTGAGTAAGAGATGATCTGTCAGAGCCGTGTGTGTGTGCATGTGTATGTGAGCGTGTTTCCCACCCACATATACCAACCTATAGCCTACACCCAGTGCAGAGGGACCCTATGAACATCAATCTCAGTCAGCAACAGGACCAGCTCACAATAGGAACTACAGGAACTACTCCCTCTGATGGCTACACAACCCAGCACAGCATAGGAAGAAATAGCCCATCACAGAGCCTCATGGGGAATGTAGGCAAACTTCACCTGATAATGTCCAGTCCGTTTAAAAGTGATATGAAGGATATCAGCTGTGTGCTAGCCTTGCTCTGGATTTGCTTTCCCTATAGTCAATGATCCATACCTCAATAACATTAAATAGCCTATGAAACCTGATTCTCTAGGCCTGGTAAGTAATGGCTAAATAACCAAGTAATTTTATGAAACTGGTAGTGCATGTTGCAACCCAGTATCCTATGAAATACTGGAGGAGGTGCCGATTCTGAAGGTACCAGATTACGTGTGGAGCTGGCGAAATGTGTAAACTATACCAGTTGACCATGCGCGGTGCTGTTTCATCAATTTCACCCATTTTGTACACAGGCCATTGTTCTGTTTTTAAATTAGTAAATTAAAATAATTCCCTGATTGATTGTAATTGATGATGGTAATAATATTAATAATATAATATTTTGGTCGTGTTACTCTGCTGTTGTCTGAATATTTTTATTAGGCTAGAATGTATGTTAAAATGAGCAGTAAACATGTTGAGGCTAAAGCACACTGGGAGATGTATTTTTGTAAGTGTATATTTTGTATCCGCAATTTGGTGTAATATAAATGTATTGTTAACCAGGTTTGTGTCTATTTTTCCTAATTTAGAATAATGGTTATCACGTTTCGAACGTAATTCAAGAGGTCGGCAGAATTAATTGCACTGGCATTGATTGATTGAGTAAACGCATTAGCTAAATGGTTTGGAAAGAGACTTTACTTTTTTTACCGATTGGGAAGTTTCTAGAGATCCCAGTGAACTCTTTCTGCATGACTGTGTTCATTTATTTATGCTTTATCTGTGAGAGGCAGACAGACATACATAAATGATATAGAAGAAAGAAAGAAATACATCTATTTTATTTCATCAAGGGTGACAAAGCACAAAAATCTGCAGCTCTTACCCTGTCATCCAGGTTTTGCAGGGCTGATTTTCCTCTGCTCTCCCGTATCTCGACCCTTGGCTGGGAGATGTCCGTCTGCCTGTCAATGACCTGTCCGTCACTCCTTCTACTGCCCCCGGGCAGTGACTGAAAATCCAACGTCTTGCTGTCGCCAGAACCTTCAACTGGACAGAACATGCCACAGAATTTCTGCCGTGGCATGGGGCTACCCGAGCCCATGTTCTTGAAGAAGGCAGGGACTTCCCCGGTAGTCGACATGATTGCACAGCGGGGTTGCTGAGTTTTGATCCTTTGTAGCGCTGCTTGCGAATTGCGAACTGTAAGATTGGACAGCCACCGCCTTGCGGGTTGATAGCGCAGGTGGTCGTTGATAGCGCACTGTTTCTGTCTTCAGTGCTGAAAGGGAGGAATAGCATACATCATAATTTAATAGGAAAGGTGCGAAATTATTAGTAAAATCGGAAAATAGCTCATTATTTATTTCTGCAAGTCCAAATATTTCCTTTAGCTCATCTCAAGCAATTACACAGAGATGCACCAAATTTTCTCTAGCTCCTATCATTTTCTATAATCATACGATTTTGAGACCAACTGTAATCTCTTGCACTCACATAATTGCTTACTCATGTAGATATAAAATACATACTGTATAACCCATAGCCTAAATGCAAAACATGAATAAATGATCCAGTAACATGCCCAGCCTAGTAGCCTAATTTCTCCCCCATCCCAATGGGCAATGAATGAATGAGTTTGAGATATGCTGAGAAGATTTACCTTTAAGATGCGAGCAAACTCCACAGTGACTGGTCACTGGTGCTCAGATATAGCTGGAGGACATCAGAGCCTTCTGTCCGGAAGTAATGCCCAAAAACGAACAGTGCACTCACTGGCATAGGACAGACAATGCTTTCTTAATCAAATTTAGCTCATCTGTTGCCCCAATCGATTAAGAGTAGTCTACTACTTAGAGGGGTATGACGTCATTCAAAAGCTTAACACTGGTCTGGTCTTAATGTGATTTGCACTGGAGAGGTAGTGAGAAAACTATGTCAATAAATGTAACTATTGGGTTAAATTGTGGCTAACTGAAAACTTCGAATCTTCAGAATGGGTTCAAAAGGCAGTCAGAGCACCTCTCAGACTTTTCTACGTCACGCCCCGCTCAACAATGAAGGGCGCTGTCCTTTCAGCACCATCCCATCCACATGCGTGACTGGGAAAGTCTTCTGCACTAGTGGCGCTGAGAGCTCTGGCAGCAGTTGCTCATGTTCTGAATTCTTTCTCGCTTGCTCACACGTGAAAAAAACATGAATCAACTAGATTCTGAAGAAGAATTGCATTTGAAGTTTTATATATTTTCCTCAGTACCACAAAATTAGACTTTTTTTTATATCACTGTCCACTGATATTTCTCATAGAAATGAATGCAGATTGTATAGGCCTATGTTTAGTTACAAGATGATCATAAGTTCTTATGGGCATTTATGCATAATTCTACATTTGATGATATTAAGTTGTATTTTTGATTACATAACATGTTATAAATGGTTTCTTGTAACAGTGTTAAGACAAAAGCTAGATCAGGCAGTAGCACACATGATAATAGCGTTCAGCAGAGTCAGAACCCAGTGTGCCCATCTTGGAAGGACACAAGGCCATTTTGTTCTCTTGTCAGGCAGACAGAGCCAAGGCCCAGTTTCCATAACAACATAGTACCAACTGGCCTGGCTGCTCTCCAGGGGGGATTTGAGGGCCAGTGTCTGGGTGAGCATTAGGGTTGTCTAGGAAAGGGCCGAATGGAAGAGAGGACTGGATGTTTGGATGTCAAAGAGGAGTTTCTATGTCCACATGCAAATACTAAAAGTATGTCCACACAACCACACCCAACAATCAATGGACATGCATGAGAAACCTGTCACTGTGGTTGCCTTTCATACTGTACAACACTCTGTAATAAAGAGGGAAGAGGGAGGAGCTTGGATAATAAGAGAGAAAAGTAGGTAGTTTGCCAAAAAATAGAAGGGGCCCCATGTCTGACCTCTGGGCATTCCATCCGCATATGGAGGGCATGGTCCTGGCATTACGAAAACAGATGGCGTTCAAAGAGTTGTAAATCCATATTTTATACACTGTTGATTCTGTTACACTGCCACAGAAAACATATATCTGAAAATGAAGTACTTGCATCCATCCCCCAATGGATAGAGAATGGGTTTCTGTGTCTGGATTAACAGGTAGTGCACAGCAATGATTACTGCTTTCTTTCGGTAACAGACACACACACACAAATAAAACATTATTTTGCTCTCGATCCCTCCTCCTACCCCATCCCATCTCCTCCTCCTACACATTCCCCATATGGAGCCTCAGAACACCTGCTTCCAGCCAATCCAGAGGCGGCAAGTTCCCCAGCTCCTCCCATTGCAGCTTGTGGTGTTACCATGGGTTACAGGGTGGTGGCCAGCTCTGTGTGTCCTTTTCTACTGAAAACACAACCCTACCCATCTCAACAGGCCAGACTTCATACAGCACACTCAAATTGCATTCTTACATGCTTGAATTGATATTATCTAAAGAAAAAAGGGAGATGGAGGAGGATGTACATATACTGAACAAAAATATAAATGCAACATGCAACAATTTCATATAAGGAAATCAGTCAACTGAAATAAATTCATTAGGCCCTAATCTATAGATTTCACATGACTGGGCAGGGGCGCAGCCATGGGTAGGCCTGGGAGGGCATAGGCCCACCCACTGGGGAGCCAGGCCCAGCCAATCAGAATGAGTTTTTCCCCACAAAAGGGCTTTACTACAGACAGAAATACACAGCAGTTTCATCAGCTGTCCAGTTGGCTGGTCTCAAACGATCCCGTAGCTGAAGAAGCCGGATGTGGAGGTCCTGGGCTGGCGTGGTTACACGTGGTCTGCGATTGTGAGGCCGTTTGGACGTACTGCAAAATTCTCTAAAATGACGTTGGAGGCAGCTTTTGGTAGAGAAATGCACATTCAATTCTCTGGCAACAGCTCTGATGGACATTCCTGCAGTCAGCATGCCAATTGCACAGTCCTTCAAAACTTGAGACATCTGTGGCATTGCGTTGTATGACAAAACTGCACATTTTAGAGTGGCCTTTTATTGTCCCCAGCATAAGGTGCACCTGTGTAATGATCATGCTGTTTAATCAGCTTCTTGATATGCCACACCTGTCAGAAGGATGGATTATCTTGGCAAAGGAGAAATGCTCACTAACAGGGATGTAAACAAATTTGTGCACAAAATATGAGAGAAATACGCTTTTTGTGAGTATGGAAAATGTCTGGGATATTTTATTTCAGCTCTTGAAACATGGGACCAACATTTTACATGTTGCATTTATATTTTGGTTTAGTATATTATGAAGGTGGAATGATGTCTATGCATGCCATCCCACTTGTATGCATGCATTATTACAAAGCAAGTAGAACTGAATTCTAGGATAATTCCCATTTGTACTCACTGATTACCATTCATTACTGTTCGGCCTCATTTTCCACTTGGTCTGACTCTCAGTGTCTGTGTCATTTGTATTGTCAGAGTGTATGAGTATTGCACAACTTCACCATATTGATACACATATCAGTCATTTCTACTGAACATTAATTTCATATAGGCAACAAGCATACATAGACACACAGGTCCCCAGCCTTCCCTAACACACAAAGCACAGGCTCGCCTCATTCACATTTTCACCACTAGAGGACAGTATTCTTCAATAGGGACTGTACCAGAAAATACACTGAAACATTAGGAATTCTTGATACCAGTGGCGGTTGGTGCCGTTTAAGATGAGGGAGGATGATTTAAAAAATGTTTTATGAACATGGCCTTATTTCTATTACAGCATACTGAATTTCTGTCATTCATATTCCATTCACCCAGCTCAATGTAACATCGATAGGGTTAGGCTACTACATGATACCAACATTTTCCCTACACCCATCATGAGGTTGCTACAACCTAGCCTATGAATGAAAGGTTACAACGTAGGTGCACAGGTCGAGAGAAATTTGAGTAATCAAGGTGACTGACAGACATTGACACATTCAGTACCGCCTTGCACACTCTTGCCTGCATCTAGCTGATTTAGCGTGTAATCATTAGTCCAACAGTTGCAAACGAGAGTTTCTATTGGACAAATTCAGGTATGTTTTATTCCCATTTCATTCTGTTTGCTTCCATTTAAGAAACGTTTTTCAACAGAATCGGCGGAATGAATACACCCCTGATCACACGCAAACACAGTTCACTTTCATAGCAGACACATTTTAAAAAGCATGATCCCTTTGATCGTTGTATTTCTTCTCGCATCTATGCGCTCTCCTCCTCTGACCTTTTCCCTTCGCTTGTGGACTTCCGTGCACAACACATCAGCTTTCTGTGACCAGGCAAAAAAAACTTTACAAGCCAAACCTTCATATCATAACCGCTACACACAGCCTACACCGTTGTCACCATGTTAACGTCATAGTGAACATAGCTACTAGAACTAAAGCGTTAGTAAACCCACTACAATCATGCAGTACAGTGTACAGTCAGCAGCAAGCAGTTTAGCAGTTACACCGGCAGGCCCGGTGCCAATAAATTAATAAAACCAAAAGCTTATCTCCTCTGAGGAGCCTCCACTGCTTCATTCACATGGGAAACTGTTGAGCGTGAAAAACCCAGCAGTGTTGCAGTTCTTGACACACTCAAACCGCTGCGCCTGGCACCTGCTACCATACCCTGTTCAAAGGCACTTAAATATTTTGTCTTGCCCATTCACCCTCTGAATGGCACATATACACAATCCATGTCTCAATTGTCTCAAGGCTTAAAAATCCTTATTTAACCTGTCTCCTTCCCTTCATCTACACTGATTGAAGTGGATTTAACAAGTTTTTTATTTTTATTTATTTCACCTTTATTTAACCAGGTAAGCCAGTTGAGAACAAGTTCTCATTTACAACTGCGACCTGGCCAAGATAAAGCAAAGCAGTGCGATAAAAACAACACAGAGTTACATATGGGGTGAAAAAACATAAAGTCAAAAATACAACAGAAAATATATATACAGTGTGTGCAAATGTAGCAAGTTATGGAGGTAAGGCAATAAATAGGCTATAGTGCAAAATAATTACAATAGTATTAACACTGGAATGCTAGATGTGCAAGAGATTATGTGCAAATAGAGATACTGGGGTGCAAAAGAGCAAAATAAATAACAATATAGGGA